GCCTCGTTTGATACCGTTCATACAGACAAGTAGCCGTGTCGCATGCCGCTCTTCTTCATATTTCTTTTTGAAGCATATAATAATCGCAAAAAGTGCTAGGCATAATACGAAATGTTGTATTTTTAAATATTCACATAATATGATTACTATGATTAATTATTCATAAAGTATAACGTTTCGTATTATATTAGACATTCTTCGCAGAAAAGTAATGTGAAAAGGAGTCGCACGCGATACGGCTATTTGTCTGTATGAACGGTATCACAAGAGACATAAAAAATCAATGCTAATATGAATATTCTCATGTAAATAACGCAATTCACAATTCTTTCACAATTAATATGGTTTAATATCTTTTCTGAATTTATTTCGCAATGATAACGAATTGCAGACGTGTGTGTTTGATATTCGTTGCTAAAAGTTAACCGATTGCATAGTAATTGCATAGTAATATAGGTAATAACTATATATTACATTTTTCAGATTATCTTCCCTCTCACGGGTACACCTTGTGGTGGGAGGGCTCAGTACTCAGAGGATATTTTCACGAATAGAACGGTTTTTATCAAATGTCTAAAAATTTTTGGATATATCTGAATGTATATATCTAGATAAATTTTTAGATATTGAGTAAAATCGTTCTCTTCGTGTAAAAATCCTCTGGGGAAGCTAACGTACCCTCGTCGCCGATTTGAAAATGAACGAACCGCAGCCGGTTCGTCGCATCGCGCGTTTCGGGAGTGACGTTCAAGTAATCGGACTCAAAGTATAGTCCGCACGCGATTACAATGTAATATTCGCGAGTATTGTACGTGAGTGTCCTGTGCGAGATGACAACCATATTCTGAGAGGAGGAGGAGGTCTGGGAGAGACATCGGACATCGGTGGAGCAACCTTGGGGTAAATATTATTTTTTACTTATGTAAAATTAACCTTTTTTTGCTTGTTTTTAATTCATTGTTAAATAAATTGTTATTTGATTTAAAAATGATTGTTTTTAAATCATTGTTA